CAAGTGAAAGAGGCAGAAATTATGTGAGTGAATAGCAGCAATTCGATATAATTAGAATATCCCAATATTTCTGCCACAAACATATGTTGAGTGCCCTTTTTTGCTTGGCACTGGGAATGAAATGGCAAGCCAAATATATTCCTTTGTCTTAAGTTGTACATAATCCAGTCTAGCAAGACATGGCACATGTAATGAATGGTGAGACACAGTGGGAGTGTTGGTTTGCACAGTTTTTAGCAAGAAAATAATGTAAAAAATGTTTCCACTTTGTGTTCATACAGTAGCACAGGGTTCATGCTTTAGGTCACAGTATAAATCAGTAACCTTCATAACAGGGTATCTGCAATTTGACCCTTCCCTATCTTTATTTTTATTCTCATTTGTGGATAGTTAGGGTATTCTAAGACAGTTGTTCTTTGTCAGTTGAAGCTTTCTCACCCATTCTTTTTTGTTTGTTTGTTTAGTTTCAAAATGATCGTTTTTTCTTTGTTTAGTTTCATAGTTTTCATTCTATGGGAAGTTTAAGGAACATTATTAGGAAAAAAAAAAGTTTGGCAAGTCCCATTACACACCTGTGCTGTGGTGTAGTTTGTTGGTTAGAGCATGAGTGATTTACTTTTCTTCTCTTTGTCTACATTTTTTAAGTTTCTGATTGACTCCTATTATAATAGAAAAAAAGATCTAATAAATTAAAAAGTGAATTTGACAAAGCCATAGTTAAGTTCAAAAGCTTAGTGTGTGTGTGTGTGTATAGATAGATAGATAGATAGATAGATAGATAGATAGATAGATAGGGAGGGTGTAGATTTTTCCAATAGGGAAAATGCACTCACAGAGATAGGCAGAGGGAGGTAAAGTCAGAAATCATCCCTAGAGAGATGACCATACCACAATCCCTTCTACATTCTCCTCTCGGCATTATGGGCACACATACACATAATGGGTGTCTTTCAAGCTGCCTGGTCCAGGACTCAACCACACAGTTGGCCATGTGGGATCCAGTACCTTAACCACCATGCCACCTGCTGGCCAATGGTGCTTTATCTACAGGCTCTTTTTTTTTTTCTACCCGTATATAGTTTAGAGACCAACTGTGCTGTAATAGCTGTAATTAAGGAAACTATAGGAGCCTCCAGATACCACTTTCTAGCAGCTATCCATCCCCCTTTTATAGTTATAAAAGTATTTTGGAATGTTAAACTTTCTTCAAGGAATTTGATATAACAGATAATTTTTTTCTTTTGTTTTTTTTTAAGAAATTTTTACTGGAGGACATGTGCACTCGGCAGAGAGCCAGAAAGTGAGAAATCACCCCCTGGGGGGATGGCCATGCCTCAGTCCCTTCTCCTCCATTCTCTCCTGGGGATTTTGGGCACGCATGCACACACACCCAGCGTGAGTTTTAAGCCACCAGGTCAACTATTTGTGAGTCCAGTGACATAACCATTACACCATCTGCTGGTTCCAGATTATTTCTTTTTTAAAAGAAACAAAAATAATATTTAATTATACTTTTAGGAAACTAAGAATTTAAGTATACTAGAGTATTTTGATAAGTTCTATAGATCTTAAGTTAATCAAAGGTTTTCTACAGTGTTTTTTCTTGCAGTATATAGGG